CGATCCCGATAGATTCGGTCCGGACAGAAAGAACAGCATCGAGAAATTCGCCTTTCTTCCGTTCGGCGAAGGACCACGAATGTGCGTGGGAATGAGAATGGCTCTGCTGCAGGTAAAAGCGTGTCTGGCTACGTTCCTGAAAAAATACAGCTTAGAGCTTTCCTCGAAGACAAAATTGCCATTAAAGTTGATAGCTACAACCTTCCTGAACGCTGCAGAGGGTGGCATTTGGGCCTCCGTTCGTCCGATATAATTGAATATGAGATTTTTCTTTCATTTCTTTTTATTTTTTCTTTGCTTTGATTTATTTCTTTTTATAAAATTACACAGATTTTTGTAATGTAAACTTTTGGTCAGTGTTTTTAATTAGATCTGCAAGGTAAATGCTTTTAGTTATATTTTTTTATTTTAAATGGTATCTTGACACGAGTTATATTCAAAAGATAACAAATATTAAAAAACGTAAATTTCCTAGGACATCAAGAAACTTGATTTATTTGAAGACTTATAAATATTATGGTCTTTTACTTTTTAATTATGCAAATCAGGCCTGGTTACAAAAAATATTAATTATTGAGTTTCAAATTATTTTTCATCGCATGTCCAGATTAGATATTATTGCAGTAAAAGAGATAATTTTTTAAGGCCAAGTACTATCGTTAGGGTAATTTTTGCGCACAACTCCGTGATACAAATTATCAATTTGTGTATGGCTCGCTGTTGATAGCAGTAATAGTAATATACATATTATGTACGTATTAAATAAGAATACATAATTAAATAATTTACGTTTATAATACAGTGTATAAATCAGTTATTTTCTAAAATATAACAGTTGCCGTTGGATATAAATTATATTTTATTACAAAACGAGCAATTCAGTTATAATTAAATCATATTCTTATATTAATATTATTGTATAATTTAATAAATTGCATATAATGGGAGAATTATGTATTAAAGCACAATTGTCTGTTTATAAATTTATCATAAGAGGAGGATAGATAATATTTATAGATAATAAAAAGTGCGTTTCATATATTATGTATGAAGTTTATTCATTAAATGTATTTCTATGTACTATGTACATATGTCGTATAGCAGCACTTTAGCGTAATTTTTCTCACGAAAATTTATATATTCTTAGCTGCACTTATACTAAGTTTCTTATTACGTTACTTTACGATGATAGAATACATCATTATCATATACGTACATTTAAAATCTATCAAATAAGGTACTATACGATGAAACCAAAAAAAGTACAATCAATCTTGCAGACGATAATCGTTAGGTTGTTTGCAAGTCATCGGCCGGAACATAATGTTTCTGCGAAGTGACGTCAGAGCTTAATGAACGCATCCCGTTTATCGTGTAACGTATGACATCTCAATTATTCATTATTCTCATCAAACTGACGATAAATTTGTATTTTGTCGATTAAAGTCTAGATTCTTTAATCTTAATTCGATGATAGAAAGAAAGAAAAAAAAGCAGTATAATACGTTTGTGCGTTGTGTCTAAACAATTCTCTTTCGCGTGTTATTGTAAATTTTATTTTCTTTACCATGAAATGTACTTTTAACGCCTTCGTTCGGATCGTATTATTCCAGACAGAATTCAATTTCAATCATTATTACAGGCAAAGTACAAATCATCCATAAAACGTTTATAATTAGAACACCGAGTTCATCAAGTCTAATAATCTTTTATCCGTGTAATTTATATAAAAAATTTTACTTTTTCAAAGTGTATATGTGTGTTTACCTTAAAACTACATCGTAAAAGATAACCAATTCCATAAAGAAACCTGTTAACCATGTTAAGAACTATGTCGCATAATTCGTCAAATGATGTAACTATTCTTAAGGTTGAAAAAAATTTCTGCTTACTATATTTGAATAAGTACTTAATATATATAATAGAATGATTAGACAAATTATAGATATAGATCTAAACTAATTAATTGGGTCTCTCATTAAAATTAATGGTCTTAATCTATGCGTACGACATGAAGATATCAATTGTAAAGTGACAATATTTGACTTGTAACTTTCAAATGAATAACGTAAAGCTTAACAGTGGACATATTAGCGAAAAATTCGTGTAATAGTAATAGTTGTAATGTTTCATAAAAAAGTAAAAAGAGGTACTCTATAAAATAAGAGCAATTAGGAGCAATTACTGTTAACTCACGGCAAATGGAAGTATTATTAATTCACAGTTGACAGATGAAATCTTACAACGCTAAATATTGTAGCGCTCACGCAACTCGTCTTTATCACTACTCACACTACTCACAGTATATCATCCACTTGTGTCTGGCATGTCTCGATTGTGGGCGTGCCAGCGACGAAGTTACAAAATTAAATCTAAGCGTAAAAATACCTACGATACGATTGTGCAACAATTAGACTTTAAATGTACGTATTAAGAAATTCACGTTCTACATTCGCGTGTCTGTTGATAACGAAAAAAAAGCAATCAAAGGATGAATTTCACAGAATTTATTCCTTTTGATTTATGCGTGTGTTTTGCGATTATCTGAGACGCTAAATGATAGAACAGTAGGAATAAGAAATTATTTGACACGACGTCGAAATAGAGATTCTGAAACGAACCTGTTGGTCTCGCAAAATAGCGATAATGTGTTGTAATCCGCGACGCTTGTGTCACGATTTTACGAAACAAATATTTCCTCAAATCCTTTCAGCATCTCCGCATAGCCGCCGAAACGATCGAATCTATTTTTCGATTTTTTTTTGCAACAATAAAACATAAATACTTGTTTCAACTTTAGATTCGAATTACTGATTTTGTATTCAGCCGCGCTTATTTAATTTCGCGGCATGTCGACTACAGTTTTATTATTTCGTGTAGAACGTATTATGCTTTATATTTATGTACTTATCACTTACCTTTTCGTTTTCTTTTTTTTTAGATTTTTAAGTTTTTTTTTATAGATAAAAAAAATTAATTAAAATAAAAGAAACGTAAAAGAAAGTAAAAAAAAAATAAAAATAGGATAAATAACTGATCAATCTGTGAAATTATCGAAATGTAAAGGACACGTTAAATTCAAAACAAAAATCAAACAAAATACATAACATGTTTTAATGAGGCTTGATATAAAGATCATAGAGTGCAGTTAAAAATCTAAAGTTACAACATATCAGATTTTTCGGATAATGAATGTAACATTTGGATGAGTAAAAGTTTATCATTTCCACAACAATCAGCAAGTTGTACCAAAAAAATTAAAGAAAATAAATTTTAAACATTATTTTAAAAATTTTTACATAGATTATTTTTACATTGTACTAAAAATGAAGTAATAAAGTATTATATAAAAATGAAAATATTCTAATGATGAAATAGAGATTTATAATAGAAAGAATTATTTTCTGGAAAAGAAATTGCATTATGTATAAATTGTTGCTTGCTGCTTGTTCAACTGCGTATAATTTTGTTACATCAGCTTGCAAGTTTGCTATCAGAATAATAATCGCAGCATCAAGAAACATCACTTGAACTCCTCAAAGAGAAGGTTGACCTTACGTTGACTTCATCTAATAAAAAAGAATTTAGTATCATTATTTGCCATCACAGTGTATATTATTATATAAATCAATATTCGTATGGGCGAAAAGAGAGTTAAAATTCACAATTTATTATATATTAAACAAACATTGCGTTTCTCAAACGTACACAGTCGAACGAAACGTAGTATATGGGTCATTTCCTTATTGAATAATATTCAGAAATTGCACTGTTCAGTCACTTGTTCTAGATTTGAATATAGGGTGGCGCACAAGAATCTCAGTGTCGGTAGCAACTAATAATAGTCTCAATATCAATGTCAAGATAAACTTTAATTGTAATATAAAAATGAGGAGTTTTATTCGACAATAATTTTTAATCTTTGAGATTAGATTTTATCTAACGAATAACGTGTGTGATTTAACGATGTGTGATAAAAATTTTATAGCAAGTTGCATAACGAACATTACGTAACATGTTCCGTATACACGATAAATTATATCATCCCGTCATGATCATTATTGCAGTGTGCTCTGTATCGTCCTCATGTGGAAAGTTTAGTTGCTTCTGCGCAGTTGTGTTTCATAACTCGTTTGAGAGGGCTTCTTGAACGTTAAACTTTTAGTATCGTTCCAGTCCTCGAGAGCAGAAATGGCCATCACGCTTGTGCTCTCGATTCTCATAGCTCTGGTGGTTTGCTAT